TCGTGCTGCTCGCGTGGCACGTGCTCAACCGCGACAAGCTCCGCGTGAGGCTCTCCGTCGCCGGGGGCATGGCGCTCGAGTCCCTCGCGTGGGCGGTCCCGCTCGTCGTCCTGCTCCAGCTCGCGACGGGCATCGCCGGCGGCCTGGCCGTCCCCGCGACGCAGACCACCGCGGACCACCTCGCGGGCCTCCCCCCCGCTTCCCTCGCCGTCGTCTCCGTCGGCGCGGGGCTCTACGAGGAGCTGCTCTTCCGGCTCCTGGGCATCACGATCCTGCACCTGCTCATCGTGGATTTTCTGGGCGCGAAGGAGAAGCTCGGCACGGCGCTCGCGATCGGCCTGAGCGCGGTCGCGTTCGCGCTGTACCACGACCGGAGCGACACCGCCGCGGTGATCACCTACCTGCTCGCGGGCGTGTACTTCGGCTTCGTGTTCGTGGCGCGCGGGTTCGGCGTCGTGGTCGCGACGCACGCGCTGTACAACATCGCGGTGACGGTCGTGCTCCCCGCGCTCACGTCGCGCGGGTAGCCGGCCTCACGCCGCCATGCCGCCCGACCAGTCGCCGGCGGAATCGCCGAAGTCGTCCGAATCGTCGTCGCTGTCGTCGAAGCCGATGTCGAAGCCCTTGGCTTCCAGGTCCGGCATGGTGCGGTGGTGCACCCGGACGATGCGGTCGAGCTGCTCGGCGAAAATGTCGCGCATCACGCCCAGCTCCGTGACCACCTCGTCCGCGAAGGGCATCCCCGCGGGGCGGAAGAGCATCACCACGGCCAGGCACTCGTCCTCCGCGAGGCACGAGAACACCAGCGCCGTCGAGCCGTCGAGCCAGTCCGCCTCCTCGCGGACCCACTCCCACTGCTCGGGGCGGTCCTCGATGCGGACGATGTCCTTCTCGGAATCGAACTCGCCCGGGATCACGTCCGCGAGGTGGTCGAGCAGGACGTCGACGGTCTCGCCGTTCATGGTCTGGTTGACGTACGCGCCGAGGTTGAAATCGCAGTGCCCGGTGGGCAGGAAGACGGCGGCGTTGGTCGGCCCGGTCCTGCCGAGCATCGTCTCGAGGACGGTTCGGAGGAGGGACTCGATGTCCAGCTCCTGGCGGACCTGCGCGCCGAACTCGGACGCGAGGTTCGAGTGGCTCACCTGGTCGGCGAGTTCCTGGTAGGCGTTCACGAGATCGGTGCAGAGCTCGTCGACCTGCTCGGAGACCTCCCGGCGGGCCTTGTTCAGGCGACGGCAGATGGTCCGGAGGCGCTCGACCTTGCGCTCGCGCCGGCGGTCCTGTTCGATTTTTCGCAGCGCCGCGTCGAGACGCTCGCTCAGCGCGGTCCCGTCGAACGGCGACCGGAGAACGTCGCAGGCCCCGCGTCGGACGTAGTCGATCGCGGTCTCGGCGCAGTCGCCGTCGGACGCGACGATCACCCCCGGGTTCACCGGCGTGGCGCGCAGCGCGTCCAGGACGTCCAGGCCGCTCCCGTCGACCAGGCTCGCGCTGACGATCGCGGCGTCGAACGCGCAGTTCGAGACGAGGTCCAGCGCCTCGTCGCGCGTCTGCGCGAAGCGGACGGCGCAGTTCATCTCGTCCGCGACGGACTCGACGAGCGAGCGGACGCCGGGCGTCGAGCTCGCGACCAGGACGGACCAGGCGTCGGGGCGGTGGCCGCGCGCTGGCGACCTCGACGCGTCGTGTGACTGATTCGGCTGTGTGTCGGACATCTCTCTCTCAGCCCTCTCTCCGTGAGTCTCCCAACTCACGCGGCCTTGTCGAACTCCTGCGACGCTTCGCTCCTGTCGAGCCTCCAGTACGGGATGAATACCCGTGCCGCCAGTCCGCCCCCGGAAATGTTCTCGAGCACGAGGCTTCCCCCGTGGAGATCGACGAGCCGCCTCGCTTTCGCGAGGCCCATCCCGGTCCGCCTGCCGGCGGGCTTGTGGGAATAGAAGGGATCGAAGGCGGACGCGAGCCGCTCGGGCGAGAGCCCCTTGCCTTCGTCCTCGACCGAGATACTGAGTCGGTCATCCGACGGGTCGATCTCAACGCGAATACGGGTGATCCCCTCCCCCGAGGCTTCGATCGCATTGGCCAGGACTTCTGTGACGACCAGGCGAATCTGACGCTCGTCCATCCACGCGTCCGGGAACGCGTCGTCCATCTCCAGCTCGATGTTTCCGGACACGCCCTCGCCCGCCTGCTCCTTCGCGTCGCGGATCGCGTCGTTCACCATCTTCCGGACCTTCACGATCCCCTTCTTCGGCTCGGGCGGGTTCGCGAAGAAGTGCAGCGCGCCGATCAGTTCGCTCAGGTGCTTCGTGGCGCTCACGATCGCCTGCAGCGCCATCTTCCCCGAGCGGTCCGGCATGCGGCCCTCGAGGAGCTGGCTCTGCCCGCTGATGACCGTGAGCGGGTTGTTCATCTCGTGCGCCGCGCCGGCCGCGAGCTCGCCCAGCTTCGCGAACGCCCGCGCCTCGACGAGCTGGTCGCGCGTCTCGGACAGCCGACGGTTCGTATCGGACAGCTGCTCCGCGACGCGCTGCGCCCCGGCGTGCCGGTTCGCCATGACGATCCCTGCGCCCCACACGTCCACCAGCGAGCGCAGCGCGCTCATCGGCATGAGCGTCCCCAGACGCGGCCGGTCGTGCAGCATCAGCACCGTGACGTTCGGGCTGATCCGCACCGGCAGCAGCGACATCCCCTTGGATTTCAGCGCCTCGATCAGCTTCCCGCCGACCAGGTTGAGCATCGACGCGGCGTCCAGATCGACTTCGGTGCCCACGCTCAGCCCGCCGAGCGAGCTGGAGGCCGGATCGTCCTCGCTCGCCGCGTCGCCCGGGCCGCCTCGGCTGGGCAGGTCCGACTGCCCGAGCACCTCGCCGGCGCCGTTGAACATGTTGATGGACCAGTGCGACTCCCGCCCGGTGCGCCAGAGGAAGCCGAAGGCGCCCTTGCCGGCGAGGCCGGAGACGCACCGGCAGATGTCGCCCATGATCGCGAGCACGCTCGTGGAATCGCACGAGGTCTCGACGAACGAGGAGATGGCTTTCTGGACCTTGTCCTGCGCCTCGTAGGCCTTGGATCGCCGCTCGAGCAGCGCGTTCATCTGGCCCAGCCGCATGTTCGCGCGTCCGATCCCCTGCAGGAGCGATTCGGATTCGGTCTGCTCGTCGAGCCCCAGCGCCTGGGACCGCTCTCGGACGCGTTCGGCCAGGGACGCGCGGGTCCGCTCGAGGTCCTCCGGCGCGATCCGGAGCGTCCGGGCGAATTCCGCCTGGTCGACGCCGCCGTCGAAGTTGCCGGACCAGCCGAAGTGCAGCTCCCGGGCGATCGAGTCCGCGAGCGTCACCAGCGCGATGAGCGAGCGGTGGTTCACCTCCGGGAGCGTGTCGAGCGGCTGGCAGTGCAGCCACATCACGTCGCGGAGCTTGTACGGGAGGCCCCAGTGCTCACCCAGCCGCTTGCCGGCGACGTGGTGATCGAGCCCGATGAGGCGGCGCTCTTCCAGCGCCACGTTGCCCTGACGCTTCACGCACGCCTCGACGACCGCGCGGTACGTCTTGGGGAGCACCCGGTCGAGGACCAGCTTGCCCATGTCGTGCAGGAGCCCGGCGAGGAACGCCTCCTCGGGCTCGATGCGGTCCTCGCGCGGCGCCACGCGGGATTCGGAGAGCAGCTCCGCGGCGCACGCCACCGCGAGCGAGTGGAGCACCAGCTCGCGCGGGTCGAGGTGGGCCTCGCCGCCCTCGTCCGGGCGGGACTCCATGAGCTTGCCCATCGCCTCGTAGACCTCGACGCTCAGCAGCGCCGAGCGGACCGCGTCGAGGCCCAGCATGACGATCGCCTGGCGCACGCCGGTGATGTCGCTCGCCACGCCCCGGTCGGCGCGACGGCATTCGGCCAGGATCCGCACGGTGAGCGACGGGTCCGATTCGATCACCTGGGCGATCTCGGACATGTCCGCGTCCGTCTCGCTCAGCTCGAGCGCGCGCATCGCGACGGACGACAGCGTGGGCAGCTTGTCCACCTGCTGAAGGACGAGCTCCAGGCGCTCGTTGCGTGCTCGTTCGCTCGCGCTCACGTCGTGTCTCTCTCCGGTACGGTCAAACACATCTCGGGATGGAACGTCGGGCCCCGGGGGTGCGGGGGGCGGGGTTCTCAGACCTCGAGGAGCTCGGTCATGCGCTCGATGAGCTTCTGGATATCGACCGGCTTCTGGACGAAATCGTCCGCGCCGCTGGACTTGAGCTTCTCGATCTCGTTCGGCTCGACCACGCCGGAGACGAAGATCACTTTCGTGTGCGACGTCTCGGGCTTGTCGCGCAGGCGCTGGCAGACCAGGTCGCCGTTCACGTCCGGGAGCATGTAGTCCAGGATCACGATCTCGGGCTTGAAGCTCTCGGTGAGCATCCCCGCGTCGTACCCCGTGCCCGCGCTCTGGACCTCGAACCGCCCGTCGCGCTCCAGCGCTTCCTTGAAGACCTCGAGGATCTGCTCGTCGTCGTCGACCAGCAGCACCCGCGTCTTCCCGGACTCCAGAACGTCCGACGGGATCTCGTTCTCGATCATGAAGCGCAGCAGGTCCTCACGCGGGATGCGCCGGAACCGCGAGCCCGGCACGCGGAAGCCGTTGAGGCGACCGCTGTCGAAACACCGGATGATCGTCTGCTGACTCACCTTGCACAGCTCCGCGGCCTCACCCGTGGTGAAGACCTTCTTCTGCGCAAGTTCCGCAACATCCTTGCTGCCATTGCGAGCGGCCATGTCTCTCTCCTCTCCGCGGCGCGTGTCCCTGTGCGTTGAGACTTCGCCAGATTCGCCGAGTCGCCCTGCTTGCCCAGCAGGTCGACCTTTCAATCGGCTCACAAACACCCCGCCTTAACATTGCCCCATGGAGAGAGAGATTCACCTGTTTTTGCAGTGATTATCGCGCTTTCGTCGGACAAATCGGACCAAGATCGGGAATCGGACCCGATCGGTCAGCGCTTGCGATGACGAATCGGTTGCGGCTAGCGTCCGCTCGCGAGCCCCGTCTCGGTTTCGCGGACGAGCCGATACATCGTCGGCAGCAGGTAGCTCTCGCCCGCGTACGCGTGCACGGTCCCGCTCAGGACGAAGACGCCGCCCCGGTCCGTGTCGCCGATGTGCTGCTCCATCGATTCGAGCAACCGGCAGGGGAGGAGGGTGAGGGGCGCGTCGTCGCCGGCACGAGCGCCCGGACCCATATCATCCGCGTCGTTCTCCGGCACGAATTCCCAGCCGCCCAGCGTCGAGCGGCGCATCCGCCCGAGTTTGGAGACGATCAGTTCCCCGTCGCGCGCGAAGCCGCGACGCGCCGTGCCGCGTGACGCCTGGGCTTCTTCGTGCTCGGCCTGGGCGCGGAGCGAATCGATCAGGCCCTCCACGTCGTCGCCCCCGCGGACCTGCGTTTGCTGCGCGGCGGCCTCGTCCTGCTTCTCCTGCTCGATCGCGAGCGTCGAGAAGCGTTCGGGGTTCAGGTAGTTGCGGCCCTTGTACACGAACACCTCGCCCGTGATGAGGAACGTCACCACGCTGTCCCGCGTCGAGAGGACGCGCTCCATCTCCATGAGGCGGACGCTCGGCATGACGATCATGGGGGCGGGCGCGAAGCCGTTCTCGTCCTCGTCGAAGACGAAGACGTGCCCGCCGCCCGTCGAGCCGACGAGCCGGCCCTGGCGCTGGTTCACCACCGCGCCCTCGCGGATGAGGTCGGACGCCCGCGGGCGGAAGTCCGGGACAGCCAGCGCCGGGATCGCCCAGTCCGAGAGGTCCTCGCCCATCCCCGTGGTGCCGTCGGGTCGGACCTCGAGCGCGCCGCGTCCCACCCGATCGGCACGCTCGGCGCCGTCGAGGATCTCTTCTTCCGACGTCGTGTCCGCCGCCCCCTGCCCGAGCGCGGGCGAGACGAGGAGCGCGAGAAACAGGAGCGGGCTGGCGAGTGTGCGGGCGCGGTCCATCGCGTCGGTCCTCCGTGAAGTGGCGAGGGGCTCTGTTCGGATTATCGTCGAAGCGGGCCGGCGGGCGATCAGAAATCGATCCCCAGGCCGCCGACGACCAGCAGATCGTCGTTCTCTCGACCGGGGTCCACCACCGACTGGTGCTCGTGACGGACGCCCACGAAGATGCTCGCGCCCTCGTACTGGGGAAGGTTCAGCGTCCACTTCGCGTCCGTCAGGAGGCGGAACTCCCCCGTCTCGTCGAAATCGGGGAAGTACGTCGAGGACAGCTCGAACGCCTGCGTTTTGTCGATCTGCCACGTCAGATCGACGCCCAGCAAACCCTCGAGGCGGACGTCGTCGCGGTCGGACTCGTACTCCTGGACCGCCACGAGACCGGCTCGGCCGGTGAGTGTGAAGTCGTCCTCGTCGTAGAACTGATAGCCAACACCGCCGCCGGCCGTGATGCGCCGGCGCCATGAGTTGAACTCGTCGTAATCGAACCGCCCGCGGGCGAAATACAGCCACGGGGAATCCGGGAGTTTCCAGTCGTGGTTGAGGCCGACCGTTGCTTTGTTCTCACTCTCCTCGCCCGAATCCTCCGCGAAGTAGTACGCCGCGTCGATCGTCGTCTTCTCCTTCTCCGAATCACGCACCGTCTTGAACGAGATCGTCAGGTTCGAGTTCTCCGTGTTGCCCTCCGAGATCGAAAAACCGACATCGAGACGCGACTCCCACTCCGGGGCCGGCTTGAGCACCTCGGTCACCGCCTCGACGACCTCCTCGGCCGGGGTCGGCTCGGCGTCGTCGGGCGTGGCGTCCTGCTCGGCGGCCTCCTCGGGCGCGGGGGGCGTCGCGTCGTCCGTCAGGATCACCTGGTTCACGACGCCCGCGCTAAGTGTCAGGGTGCCGAGCACCGGGTGCTCGAGCACAACGCCGTCGCCGTCCTGCGAGGTCACCTCGCCGTAGAGACGCTCGCCTGTGTTCAGAACGACGACGTCGGCGTGGAGCCGAGGCGCCGCCCAGGCGAGCAGCGCGAGGGCGGCGATGAGCGAGAACAGTCGGTAGCGGCGCATGGGCGATCTCCGGAAGTGGGGTCGTGGCCGACGGCCGGCGTCGGGCCAGACAACGTACACGGATTCGACGACGCCTTCACCTGCCCATCCAGCCGATCACCAGGTGAACGATCGCCACCTGCATCGCCCCGCGGATCGAGCCGTCGCGCGCCATCCGGGACAGATCGCGGAGCGGCACGCGCACGAGCCGGATGTCCTCCGTCGACTCCAGATCCGGCTCGCCCACACGACGGATATCTCTGGATGCGTACACCCACAAGCGGTTGTTCATCATCGCGGGGTTGGGCCACAACTCGCCGATGAGCTCGACCTCGCCCTCGTGGCCGGTCTCTTCGCGGAGTTCGCGAGCCGCGCAGACCGCGTGGTCCTCACCGGGGTCGACGAGCCCGCCCGGGAATTCCAGCGCGTCGCGTTCGATGCCGTGGCGGAACTGGCGGACCATAAGGACGTGCCCGTCGCCCGAGACCGGGGCGACGCTCACGAAATCCGGCGCCTCGATCGTGTGGTACTCGTGGAGCGTCTCGCCGCCGTCGAGCGAGCGCATCGAGCGCTCGACGCGCCATTTCATCGCCCGCAGGGCCTCCTCGCGCCGGTGCACCGACCAGCGCGAGTCGCCGCGACTCGCGTCGTCGCCCTCGATCGCCACGGTCAGTTGCCCATCTGCGCGCGCATCATCGCGAGCTGCTGCTGGATGCTCATCCGCATGAAGTTCATCTCGGTCTGGCTGATGCCCTCGCGGTTGAGGTCGACGCGCATCGCCGTGAGCCAGCCCTGGTCCGCAGGCTCGTACCCGAAGCGATCGCGGAGCCGCGCCTCCATGTCCCGCATGTGCCCGGCGCCGTAAACGATCGCGACGCCGTTCTCGAACGCCTCGCCGGAGTCGAGGAGACGCGCCAGGTCGTCCATCACGCGCTCGTTGCGCCTCTCGATGAGCACCTCCATGAGCCCCTCCATGCCGGGGACGCCGGACTCGAAGATCTCTTCCGAGCTGCCCAGCATCTCCATGAGCATGACCTTCCCGCGCACCGCCACGCCCGGCATCGCCTCGATGACGTCGAGGACGAAGCCGGTGATCGCGGTGAAGAGCCCCTCGCCGCCGATCATGTCGAAGATCATCGTGCCGTCGCCGCCGCCCGCACGAATCAGGCGGTCGACCTCGTCGAGCGAGAGGTCGGAATTGACGTACTTCTCGCCCTCGTGCGCCATCTCGTCGAGCTGGAAGGTGAGGCCGAACGTTTCCGCGAGGCGCTTCTGGATGCCCGGCTCCTCGCCGCGCTCGGCCGCGGAGAGCGGGGGCATGTCGCTGAGCTTGATGTCCGACGCGTCGCCGCGCCCGCCCTCTTTGCCGTCCGAGCCTGTGCTGACGATCTCGGGCTCGCCGTCGAGGAGCGAGTACGCGATCGCGTGGCCCCAGGCGTCGGTCGAGGCGTTCTCCACCCAGCTCGCCTCGCGGTCGCTGAGGGCGGATCTCATCTCCTTGAGCGTCGCGGGGTAGAGCCCGTCGGCGTCGCGGACCTGCTCGGCGAGCATCGCGAGGAGACGCACGCGGCGTTCGGTCCAGTCGATCTTCTCGCGCGGGGTCAGGTCCTGCGCGTCCTCGCCGCTCCCCGGGGGGCCGACGCCCTCGAAGAGGATGACGTCGTGGGCCTCGAGTTTGTTCTCCACCGCGTCGTAGAACCGCGCATCCGCGATGTGCACCGCGCCGACGAGTGTCAGCTTCGGGCCGCCCTCACGCTCGTACACGCGGTAGCCGACGCCCAGGCGGAGGATCCGCGATCCCGTCTCGCCCACGCGCACCCAGGGGAACTCGTCGTCCCACGCCTCCTCGCCCTGCGCAAGGGAGGGCGCGGTGACGGCGGCGGCGAGGGCGGTCGCGGCAAGGGCTCTGAGCCAGCGTGAGGTCATCGGGGTTCCTTTCCGAAGCGGGGTCGTGACCAGTCTAGCCCGACGGCGCACGAAAAAACCCGCCGGGCTCGACGGGTTCTTGGTGGTGTTTTCGCTCGCCGGCTTTCAGACCGCGAAGCTGGACCCGCAGCCGCAGGTCGTGTTGGCGTTCGGGTTGGTGAACACGA